CCCTTCGCTCGCTCGCCATTTCCCTCCCTCTTTCACCCTGTTTCTCTCTCTCTCTCTCTCTCTCTCTCTCTCTTCTGCGCTCTATTCATCCTCATCTTTCCCTTTCTATCCCCCTCGAGACGACGAGCGCGCACGGTGCAAGCCGGAGGGTACAGCGGCACGGTTAGAGGTATACACGCCGATTTAGGACGCTAATTCCAATTTGCAATTCGCTATTGGGTAATTGCTGCCCATTAGAGGGAGGCCATTTTCGGCTGCTACGTAGACCAGCGTAGAACCGCGTCCACGACAGCTATGTGTTTTATGTGGGAGCGGAGTGAGAGCGCAGATCGATGCACCTTCGAGCGAAAGACGAATCGCCAATTATTTTCGATAAAAAATAGAATCTTGTATTAAAATGGCGCTTCCAGTTCGATGACGAAAGACACGAACACATAATCTCTTCTAGTTGCAAATTTTTTCCAATCTTTTACTTTACCTTTAATTCTGCATTTTATCTTTGATAACGATAAAATAAATCCTACCGGAAGCTTAAAGTAATCAATCAAAGTAGAGAATATCTTTACAATAAAATATGTATATTTTTATGATATGAATATTTTTATGATATGATAATTTTTGCATATTATATATAATATATAAAAACAGAGAAAGAAAGAAAGAAATGTTACTTTTCCATGATATGAAGCATTTAGATGATATGAAGCATTTGGGTCATCCGTTTGAGTAACGTGGCACCCTTCGGACGAACCAACGCACAAAAAGGACTAAAAAACGAAGGTGAAGTTCCTGCGGGAGCTGGGATCGAGTAATCAGTTTTAATTAAGCGTACCTTTCGCTCGAGAGTTAACGAGGGTAGTTACTCGTTAGTCCGAGATATCGTGCGATTCGTCGACTTTAAAAAAAAAGAGAGGAGTAACGAGCATGAGATCGGATCTCGGCTCGACGGGAAAAGGAGCTATATTCGAATGATTAATTCTGTAAGTATTACATAACAATCACTGATGCTGAGGAATAAATGTCTTACACTCGATATCTCGAATTGTTGCATTTGTACAAATTAATGCGCGTTATTACATGGGGATTATCGGAAATAAAATTAAAGAAATAGAAGATGATATCTTTAATTACTTTATAAGAATACAATTAATTTTTTTATTATTGTTAATTAAAATTATATAAAAATCTCAAATGTGCTGATTCATCTTATTCCATTATCTGTATCCGTTAACGACGCGAAACAAAATATGTTGCGATACCTACCGCATCGTCGCCCTTCATTGTGGCACAAGGGTATTCATGCGACCGGTGAAGTGTAATTTTTCCGGGGGTTATAAGCTACAGGGGGGGATAGAGCGAGAAAGAGTAGTCGCTTTAAGTACAGATAATAGGTGGTGTTTACCGCCACGATGATCGGCACTATTTAAGGGTGGCCTGGCATGAAGCGGCCGATGGGACCCCAAATAAATTAAATTATCATGATAAAGGCCCCTTCTACCGTCCCACCCCCTCGATATAAGAGCGCGAATGGTGATTGTCCACTCGATAAAGTTGCCCTCCTCATGTTTACCGACATCTGTCACAGTTTGCGCATTTCCCGATCCCGATCGGACGCGCAGCGTGCCAAAATGATCAATTTTGGCGGGACACGCATGTCAATGAAATTAGGCCAATTCGAAAGCAAATGTATCGCGCGAAGAATATATTGCGCGGGAATTAATTATGGAAATTAATTATAAAATGATATATATTTTTTATATCAAATTGATAGAACTGTCCTACACAATATATAATAATAGTGAGAAGGAAAAACGTTGGATGGAAAGAAACGGTTTTCATTAATGTACAATACGTATGTTGTTTTAGTATTTTTCTCCTAACATTTTTTTTCTACTATAACATAAATGCAGACACTTGTCATTTTTCTTCTCCATTATTTTTATCGACCTCGCGATTGCACCGGATTGCTTTTATTTATTGAAGCGGGGAGAGGGGAACTATTTGCAGTTAGTTAACGCTATAGTTAACGTGGCGTCCCTACGATGGAGGGGTACGTACCGTATGTTAGGTGCCAACCCCCTCGATTGCGCATGGCGAGCAAATTTCTTCGGTACGTTTCTGTAACGTACTTCGTTGATTAATACGATGGCTCAATGAATAATTATCGCGATGAGCCGGCCAATTTGACGACGAAGGGTGCGATAATTTATAGCGGCTATTTGTCATTTCTTAAACTTTTAAAAGAATGATGGATGCGAGACTCTTAAATATGTCTAAACTTGACTGGTATCGTTTGTTTCGTCCAAATAAATTCAAATTTTACAATCTTTGCAAAGTTAACAATTTATATTTAAAATTTCGATAATTAATAAAGTTTTGGGGTTCTCTTTCAAAGAATAGTTGCTTTAGAATAATTGCTAATATATTAAAAAATAGTCATTAAATATAAAATGCAAAGTTTTAAAGAGAGGGGATGACAAGTTCAGGCATTTTCGATGTGTAATGATTAATAAAAATTTTTTCACTTCAATCAAAATTAAATTCGAGCCATAATTGTGCTATCTGAAACGCGTAAAAAAATATTGAAAGAAATTTTTAGCCTAAGAAAACTTAAGAAATGATGGTTTAAATTGCCAGGAAACTTTTTTATCCCGGTTTTATCATTTTAAGTGTAAAATTGAATCGTCAGAACTCTTAAAGAGCTATCGAAAATTTTTGAGAAAATACCAGATTCCAAATACATTTCAATGAAATTTGTTTCTTGAAATTGATTATGAGGAAAATATCTTTTACAATTGATGCTTTATCTCTTACTCATTTCTCTTAACTATTTGACTCATATTGACTAAAAATAATTATAGATTAAAATCTAATAACTGATTATAGAGTTAATATAATCTTGTGTCGTATAAACAGTTTTTGTAATCGAAAGATACTTTTATCTTAAATTATCTTAGATAAGGCACAATAGAGATAAAACGATACGTTGCTGCGTGGCGAAATTTTTTGGACAATGCATAATACGATGTGATATATGTCACGAGTATCTAATGGGCATCGCGTAGATGGTGTCCGCGAACGATGAAATTGAAAAAGGGATATAAAAATAAATCATGATGGGACGAGCGAGGAGCGCAATGGTGCAAATAATAATTGTCACAAATCAGCGGGGAGGGAAATCATCGGTCAGGCCATATGTGCCCAGCGGGGGAGAGGGGACAGAGGGAGCGAAACTCCACTTCGTTCAACGATAAATAACCCAATAAATGTGCTACAGAGTCTAAATACTAACAACTATCAAATGTAGTTTCTCATGTCCCTCGCGCACGATCCTGGCTTGCATGAACAACTGTCAAAAATATTCGGTGAGCTTAGCATTTTTTTTGTAACATCCATAGGGGTAACAAACATTGAATGCAGCAACGTAATATTTCATGATCGCAAAATGAGTTTAAATTTGCTCGAAATAGAAAAAAATTTCATAAAAAGTTATCTAAATCATTCGAATTTTATTAAATTGACATTTTTATTACAACTTTATATTACAACTTTAAAAAAATTGCTCTAATATATTTTTATATACTTTATATACTCTTTTTCAAATTGTTCAATTCTTACATCATGTTACTCAATGATTACTCTTTTCTCGTAATACTTGTGCTGCGTGTGTTAAATTTGAGGACGTTGTGCAACAGCCTGATAATGCGACATATCGAGATATCGGAAACTGCCGTTTATTTGTGTATCAGGCGTAAAATCGCGCGGTCCTATATCAAAATATACTGGTCTCTCCTATTCGAGGGAGAGCGGATACGTGCGTACCTGCTCGTACGCGGCTTAGTGAATCACGCGCGCGACCGGTAATCCGAATGCGCTCGACTAAACGCCGCCATGTGTACAAACACTGACAGCCGGTCACGCACTTGCTAGTTAAGTTACGAGGGTGCTTAAGCCATTGACGCAAGGCTCACCCCGCTGTTAATCGTGGAAACCCACCGTAAAGCTCGGCAACAACAAAAACACGTGACAAAAATAATGGCGTTTCTCGTATACGAAATTTTCGGCTTTCGCGTGAATTTGAAGTCTGCTATTATTTTTTAATGATTCCTGCGTTCTCGAATAATCCAATCTTATCTGCTCGTTTTAAATTTACTAACATAAATTAAAAACTCTATTTAAGTAACTTGTTTTGCATTAAAAAGTAATTATAATAATTACAAAAAATTAATTAATGTAGTATAGCGATTAGTGTATTAATATAGCGATAAGATAGATTGTAATTGTGTAATATACTGTTTGGTATCTTGTTAATAAGGAATAATATCATGTTTAGCTCTGAATGATAAATTGTTAACATTCCATGTATTCATCGTGTGACGCGATGTACAGTACACCTCCATTCGCGTGTGGATTGATTGCAATATTATCATGTTTGTATGTATCTCGGCGATAATTTCATCAAACTCTGCGGCGTCCTACGCCCATGGTGCTATAAGTCGGCGATCCTCCCCTGACCAAGAGTCATTCACGGGGCTAATTGCAGGGGCGGCTTTCCGCCCTATCGTCTAACCCCAAATCATCCCCCGGTAATCCATAGGGATTTACACTCGCGATAATTGCATTAGCATTCGATGATTTTTATTGGATCGTCCGGCTCGCGATAATGAATCATTTTCGCTGTCCAAACTGTTTGCCGGACTAAAATCGTCAATTCAATTTGTGACTTTTGTCCAACGAATCAATTAAAAAAATTTTTTCCCTGCCAATTTTTATTATGCAAGAGTCAACATCACGTTCGTTAAAAAATTATAACCATTTGTATAATTATTTGCGATTACGATATCGAGAGATAAGAGCATGATCTATTTCATACGTGTCTTAATTATGGAACATTTCAATTTATGGATCATTATCGCAAATATTGTTACTCGAATTAATCGTAGCGTAATCTGCATCATAATTGCAATTTTTTGTAATAGAATATTTTCCTTTTGTTACAGGCTGCGCGGCACAACATGCATTGCTGGGCAAGACCAGAAGGCCAAGGACAGCCTTCACGTCCCAGCAGCTTCTCGAATTAGAAAAGCAATTCCGACAGAATAAATATCTCAGCAGACCGAAGAGGTTTGAAGTCGCGACGTCGCTGATGCTCACGGAAACGCAGGTAAATCCAGATAATGATGTTAAATCGACCATTACCTCTCTCGATATCCGAAATTCAATGACAGCCATGAGCCTGTGAATCACCTCTCTCTTTCGCGCGCGCGATAAGCATCGCGCGATTAACAATTTTTATTAGTCACGTAGTAGAGAGATGTAATGTAACGCGAATCGTGAATCATCTATAATTCCACGATAAAATACCTCTGGGTAATAAAAAGCCGTTCCCACTGCCGAAAGAAAAAACGCGAATAAGCTTGAAGTAATTTTTTCCATCGTAACTTTGCGGTCGCTCATGACGTTATAACAGCTGTCAATAGGAACAGAAAATTATGCCTTTTTGACACTCGTCTACTTTCTCGAAATTACGAGAGAGATATTTTTGCATAATAACGTCCGATCGATATGGATGATGCGCCGAGGAATCGTTAAGGAATCCAATCGGTTATTTTCCGAGTTGGAGCTGGAGCTGGAGTTAAGTTAGCTCGTCAAGAGTCGCTCGACGAGGAGTTGAGCGACGTTGGTCGGTAAATAGCGCGAAAATGGAAATTCGCGAGGTCACGCGAGCGCTCAGGACGGAAAAAGAGGAAGACCCTCTCTTCGAAAGAGAGAAAATCCCTCTCCGGAATAATCCGGTCCGCCCTTCCTCCGTCCGGGACCGGCTGGCGTGCACGCGCGCGAATCCTCTCTCGCATAGTTCAACAACTTAAACATAACTCCGAAGCTTACGAGCCCTGACGGATCGCTCGGCAAACAGACGTGAAAGTCTGAGTTATGGCGGGCTCAGTCGCTGATTTGTTTCGATATTTTACCGATTCTGCCTCGCCTCCATCTCGGCCTCCTTCCTCCTGCGTCCTCTTCCTTTCTCTTCGTTCCTCCTCTCTCCCGCCTTCCGGTCCTATGTTACTCATTTCACGTCTGAGTTCCGCGTTTGCAGAAACGCGATTACCAGCGATTTACCGTCCAAGCTCGTCGCGACGTCCGACGAAGAATGCGTTTATTTAAAAAAGACATTGAAAGGTTGCATATTTCCCCTCTCTCTCTCTTTCTATATATATATAAATCTCTGTCGTTATCAAGGTAAATAATTTTGTTGGTATTATATCGTAGTACAATGTTATTATCTCAACGGGGAAAGTCATAAAATACACTATCTCTCTGAAAGAGGAAATGCTAATTTTTTGATGTATTATGCATTTCTCCGATATTTTCTTTAGACGATCGTTTTTTTGCCTTTAGATTTTTAACGAAGTGATTCGATATTTGATTTACGACTTTATTTCGACAGCGATTTCCTGTTGGATTAATTAAAATCTGATATTCCTTAATATTCGCGATTAAAGTATCACAAAATCGCAGTCATAATCGTCGTAATAACATGCGAAATCTACGCAACAATGATCGTTAGCGAGAAAAATATCTTGCACAATTAGCGCGATTGCGATCGAAATGATATCGCGATGGGAGTCTTTCGATGTTCCATGATTCATTCGTCGCGTTCGGTTTCCCGTGTACAAAGTGTCGATTAATTTCGATTCGCGAGATAATTTACAGCGCGATCTATTTCTCCTCCCTCCCTTTCTATCGCTCGCTCGCTCGCTCTTCATCGCTCGTCGATTTATCGACAACAAATATTTATTTTCGCACGTCGCTTTTTTTTCCCACCTTCGATCCATTTTTTTCGACTGACTCGCTCACGCCTACAATTCGCGCCTTCTCGTTCCCCTATTACTTCCCCCCCTTTCCCCCCTCTGTATTCGACCCCGACGCTTGTTTACCTCGTGCTACGAATTATTTGTTAACGCGACACGAATGATTTACGTAAATTTCTGCATTCCTCTCTCTGTCCCTTTCTCGTAGCAACTCGCCTAACAAATTATCCAGCTGATCGAGAAGCGATGATACATTTGATGTTTCTCAATAAAATTCTAGACTTTAAGAGAGATAAATATATTTTCATCAAACGCTTTTAATCTTATACTAGATTTTATATATCTTTTTATTGGTATAAAAATCTACATATTTTTAAATATTTATAAATAAATTCTATATATTACATATTTCCGAAATATTAATTCATAAAGATTTATTTTCTGAAAAGTGGATTTAATTAAGAAAGATTATGGCATATTTGTTATCATCGCTGATGTATATTTTAGGTAGTAACGATTAGAAATTTAGGATTAATCTCGCCAACGGAAAGATCCTTCGCGTCGCGAGAATTCAGCGAAACGTTCACAGATTCTCCCATTCGTATTCGTACGAGAAAGCTGCGCTCCTACGCGAAGGGTAAAGATATAATACGGTCGGTGTGCCTGGAGGGGATTGGCCCGGGCGCATGATATGTTGTCCGAAAGATTTACATCGTTTTCTTACGATTGGGGAGGAAAAATCGAGTCCCTGTATCTGTCTACCTGATTTACGGCGTCTCGCGGGGTGGTTCACGTAATGTTACCCGCGCTTATGGAGTACGCATTCGCCAAATTAAATCGGGCGTGGATCGAACGCGTCGAGATTGAGGCACTTATGCCCGCGATAAATCGTCAGATAATTAGCACTTTTCAAACTGATATTGACTCGAAATCAAACTAGGAAATCTTTCAATTTATGTGAACGTATCTGCGAATGAATTTTTATCATTCAATATCAGGGAGCGTGTTTGTATGTATGTGTGTAGAAAGTCCAAAGTACTTGGAATATTATCGTTTATTTTTCGATATTTACATATAGAATGATCAATAATCGCTTGTGTAGGTAACAAGGAAATTATTACTTTGTGATGGAATAGTTTGATACAAAATTACGTTAGATAACATGAGTCATTTTCTCCTAAGTGGAATTTATTATCAGAGTATAATATCTCGTAAGTAAAGATAAATTTGATAGTTTGTTATTTTCTTCGCTCTTAAATAAAAATGTTAAATATATTTTATATGAAATATAAATTCAAGCGGAAATGTTATAATGCACACAAATCCGTTTGAAGAATCTTTCTGTTCACGCGAAGGTTATTTCATAATTATCTAAAATTAAATACGAGATAAATGATATTCAGTGCCCAAATATTTTATCAGAGCAGATATCGCGCTCGTTGTAGTTGTTAGTTCCGCGAAATCGCTTATCGCCACGTAATTTCTTTAATCTTTCTTTACGTCGCGAGCACTTTGATTGATGCGTAATAAGTAATTTTGATAAGTTTTTGCTCTTTCTTTCTCTCTCATTTTGCATCGATCAATAATTACACGGTTATACTTTCGTTGCAGGTGAAGATCTGGTTTCAAAATCGCCGAATGAAATGGAAGCGCAGCAAAAAGGCGCAACAGGAGGCTCGTACGAGCGGTAAAGTCGAAGAAACCGGAAGCGCGAGAAGTGCCGAACGAGATACCGGAAGTGACATTAGCGTCAACGCACCTGGAACACCGGAGGAATCCAGAGGAACGCTCCAGGAAAGTCAGAGAACTGGAACGGACCTTCAAGAACCTTTGTATCGGCCTTACGTGGTTTAAAGAACCAATAGAGGCACGTTTAATCTTTGGAAGACCAACATTTTTCAAAATAAACTTCAAGCATTTTTTTCGCTAGTTATTTATTTTATATATATAATAATTTATATAAATGTTAAATTAAAAAATATTTTTCCTTGTTAATTATTGTGTTTAATTTATTATAATAAAAGAAAATAGTAAAGAAGCAAGGAAGGTGAGAAGAAGAAGAAATACTTCTTTTAAAAGATTAAAAAGGAAATTTATTGTTGGCCCTCCAACGATTAGAAAGATACGAATAACATCAAGCTGAATGTGCTTCTTGGAAAATTAATTTATTCAGAAAAGTGATTATTTCGGAGTTTCTAAAGATTCGAATCTAAAGATTCTCTTACGACTAAGTTCCGCTAATTAATTCGACCGTACAATTGTTCCTATATAGATACTTTCGTAGTAAAAAGTAAGAATGTTCCACTTCGTCATCTCGATTGCGATATAATTTTGATAATCGACTATAATAATAAATATCGCCGTGATTTGTAAAGGAAATTGAAACCAGCATAATGTCGATTTTTCATCAGTTTATATCAATTGTCACAAATAAACGTGAGAATTACTTTTGCGTGCATCAATGTTATCGAAATCACCTCAATTTTGATTTTCGCTTATTATATCGATCATAATTTTTTACCAAAAAATACTTGATATCTCTCGTGTATATATATATCTCATCTCTATAATTTCTTGCATCAAAATTCTAATGTAAATAATTGCGAATGAGATAATATCCGCATACACACGATCATTAACGATACCTCGCTTGTTAATCACGGTTATTAGTGCATCACACGAGCATCATTGCTGATTCGAGAAGTTCAAAGCAAGAAATATTGATGGTATAATCGAATTAATCTTTTACAGTCTGCCTGCATTTTGAGCAAGTAGCGGCTAAAAGATTCATACGTTGTGACCGTACGATCGAACGGTACATGCGTGACAGTAAAACTTTGCTTCGGAATCTATGAGAGCCTCGAGACGGATGCCATTTAATCTAAATCCGTCGTGTACATAAACGTTCTAGGGACTATTTATTCTGTGTTCGCTGGGCTTGTAAGATAGAAATGGCAGATAAACGCTGAAACCGCGACGTTGTTAATATAAACGATGTAAAGAGGAGATACACAGGATGGTAGGATCTCTACCCTGTCCAGGGTTATAAGTGTTATTTGAGTATTGTCCTGTATGAGTGCACGAGCGAGAAGCATGTATTTATAGCATACAATGTGAGTGTAAATATTATCCGCATAGATTCTAAGTTAGCGAATGCGATGCAGATACACGGTATGATTATCGCGAGAAGTTCCTAAATAAATTATGAAATCGAGTAAACTCTCGTTCTGCGTCCTTCCTTTTCGCCCTCGAAGTGTTCTCCCGATTTAGATTTAGATATGCTATCAGAGAAAGATCATCATTTTGTATATTTACATGTTTATTATTTATCTGTGTCTCTTAAAGAGATACGCATATGTTTGATCTAAAAATAATAATTAGTAGAATTATACATACACGTCATATCTGAAATTATTTTTTCGGATAAGAAGAAACAGCTATTTCTCTGGCGATTGTAATTTTGATTTCTAAATCAGACACGTTCTATATTTTTAAACTGATAGAAATATTACAATTATCTGAAAATATTTATATGTCGATTTTTCAAACTAAAAATATTTGTTATTTAATTTAGCACATAATTTATTCGAATCAAAATTATATGTTTCAAAGTAGTTTACTTCAACGTTGTCTAAAGTAAATTTGCTTCTTTTCTGATTACAATAATAATGTCAAATAAATGGAAAAAATCCGGAATCGCAATTTTTGGAATATCAAATTTTACTTTGCACCTGAAACGCCCGGATCCGCTTGTATTGAACCGCGTGTGCGAGGGAGCCGGGTCTCCTCACGTTATTTGCATGATGGCCGCTGATTGGTATATGGCTTGTAAATGAGAGGCTTCATCCCCCCGGCGGACGGCCCACCTGGCTGGTTGGTTGATGCCCGATGGAGAACCGAACATCGTCGTGTTTCGAAAGGCATTCGAAGGAGCCGCGTCGCGCTGCGCCGCGTCGCGTCATCAGTATTTATGACATGCTAATTCCCAGTTACGAATTCCGCGACATTCCGCGGGATCCGACGGCGGGGAGTCGCTCGTTCGGAAAACGTCAGCGACCGGAGAAGGAGGAGAAGCAGAGTCGTATTTGACGAACTGGCGGATCGATGTCACCGCTTCCCCGCGCTTTCATTTCCTTTTTCTGCCGAGTCCGAAATCACTTTCGCGAAAATCGCGAAGACGACGGATGCATATCGATAAATTGGGAGTCGCAATCAACAAGAGATATAAGTGTAAAAAGTGCCGCGAATATAAATTGATATAACGCACTCCCGAAATATATGTAGAGTTATCTCTGTGCAAAATAATCTGCATAAATATCTCCGCAAGTAGATCGAGTGGCAATTATTAATTAAATAAATGGTAAATTAATTTCTTGAAAGGAGTAACCACGTGTAGCAAGAATCTCTCGCTTTAAATATTTCACATAATTTTTCACAGCATTTTTATTTCCACGAAAATTGAAAAAAAATTATTCGAATTTCGAGAACGCTAAATGTTATTAATGGATATTCGAAAAATTGTCTCGCTCTATATATTTTTCCGCTGTAATTTCGCTGCCGTGCAGATTCTCGTCAATCTATTCGTTCTTATTACCGATTCGACTGCCAATTCTTTCCCCGCCTGCTGTCGTGTGCCGTTCCAATTTTTCGTCTTCATCTTTCGGTCGTGAAAAATCCGTGGCGAGAGCAACTCGAGCGAGGATTTTACCGGCGTGATTATTTGCGAGGAAAAATCTGGGATTGCCCGAGATGCAGGCAGGCCAGAACGATCTTGGGAAACGTTCTGGCATGGCGCCACGTCTCCGTTTACGCCATGGTGCGGCGTGGCGGAAAAAGGGAATGGCCGTAAAGCTTTCTCGAGGAATACGCCGACGACCTGAGAAAGCGCGAAGGCGTGTTACCGTGACGCTCTCGAGAGGGAATTAGCATAACGGCCAATCCCGCTTCGCGTTTCCCGCGTGTTCCTTTCTTCCGGTGGACGCGGAAGGTCGGAGAAGGGGGAAATTTATTCGAGTGCGGGCCCCGTTCGCGGACGGCAATTTAGCGAAAAACGCATTACACATAGTACGCGTCAATCTCGCGATCGATCTTGAATAATTGTGTTTGTTCCTTGTGATTTATCAGTAATTTCGCGGCACTCTAGTCGATGAAATCACCACTTGACTGTTGAAGATTGTTTTGCTAATTTTTAACTTGGACATACATAAAATTGATTTATTATTTTGCTATATTGACCTACAAAAAGTGCGATAATATTCAAGATTAGATGAATGTTTATAACATCATATGATTAAGAATTTTATTTTTATCAATTATATTACTATTATCGGCACGATTATCAATTTTATTATTATTATATTTTTTTATTTTAAGATAACATAAATATATGTATAATTTTTGAGTGAATATAAATTCGAAGAGTAAGGGAGCCAGACTAGATTTATAATAAAGTAAGTATTAGAAGTAAGTTTCTAATCTATAAGACAGGTGTCTTCCTTTTAAAATGCTTCGAAATCCTTCAACTTTCAATTAAAATAGATTCAATCTTGGAATTATTTTACATCTTACTTGCAATAACTACAAGAAAATCTCACCATTGTTTGATGGACGTTATATTTCGGTTAGCTGATTTCTCTCGTATCACTTAATGGAGGCTCGTCCTCATCGAAAAGGAAGTCGAGAGTCGTCGCTGTTGCAGGAGAGGATTGCGAAGACAGCGTGCTGGAGGGAGACAGGGAGGAAGGGAGATAGTTCGAAAGGACGTGGCGACGACGAGGGTGGGGCACTCATGTTTATATGCATTGTATTGCTAAAACCCTTTTAACCGAATTACATTTAGCGATTCTAGTGCCGCTTCTATGTCTGCGTAACTTCCCTCTTTCCCTCCTCCTCCGTTTCTCTCCATCTCTCTCTTTTTGTCGCTTTCCTTGCTCCATCCCCTTTCATTTTGCCTACCTTCCGTCTCTCTTTTACTCGCTTCGAGATACGGCGCGTGTCTACGTATGCGAAGAGCTACTCCATCCGCCTTTGGAAGATCCCATACGACGACGGTGGTGAGCTGATGGCTGAGGATGATGGTGCGAGGGGGTTGGTGGGCCGATGGATGGGTGGTGGAGGACGGGGGACGGATTCCAAGAGTCGGAGAACGGCATCCCTGAATCCCTGATTCTCTTGGTAAACAAGTGCTTGGGTGATTCACTGCTTGTTCACTCCTATCGGCCGTCGTTTGTTTCTAGACGCCATTGCGTTCTACGATTCTACCTCGTTTTCCGGTCTAATGGATTTTGGGGGCCGTCGAGGGTTGCTTCGAGAGTTTCTCGCGTTACCTCTTTCTCTCCTTTCTCTCTCTCTTTCTTGAGCTGCAGACATTTTTAGCACCTTTCGTCCCCTTTAGAGAATCTTGTTTTGATGCTGTCAATGATCTGTGTAACAGAACATGTTGGTAATAAAACGCGCCTATAACAGGATGGAATACGATGAAGATTCACCAACACGATAATTTGAAATTGTCATCAAAGATGTGTAACAAATGTTGATATCACAGATACTTCTCGCATATTATAATTATTTTAATATGATAATATATTATAATTATTTTAATATTAAACTTTAAGCAATATTTTTATATATAATTGTATCAAAAATTATTATAAACGTGTACATTAATTACGAATCTTAGTTGTTCAAAATCAAGAAGATATAATCCGTATCATTGTTCCATCCAGCATTAATCTCACAGAGATTCATAATTCAACACGTATGGGAAAGAAGAATTTAACATTTTAATTAATGTGTTCAGCTTGAAATTTTTAGATATTTAAAGTACGAACGATTTTTGATTGTATCAACTTTAACGTAACGAGACATCTCAAGGATCAATCGCCGCCATCTTCGACAACACCCTGCGAGAA